GAGTTGTATTAACTGAATATCTAGAAACGGAATGCTCTTGGGCTTGTATTAACTATAATTCTTCGTTTGAAAGCACGCTTGTATGACCTTTAGATCTCTGTTGTTTACTGGAGAGCTTGCTCTCCAGTATGGCGTTGCTATGCGGTATCCAAGCACGTGATCTCTAGCTGCAAAAGGCCTATTATTTAATTATTTCTCGATGATAAGCTGGTCTACCAAACATTTATTGAAATTTGACATCTTTTCTTTGTTTTGAATTTCTTGATTCATTTGTAGGAAAGCCACAGCAAGACTAAGATTCTTTTCAGCAATGCTACACAATAAATAGATAACGGGCCGAAACATCATCGCTTTTGAAGCAATATAGGCTTGTTGACATTTTGTCTGGGATAGGGTATCATTATTGTCTGGGATAGGGTTACGATTTGGTCGTTTTTGTCTGGCGAATAGGCTACGGTCTCTGCCGGCACAAAAACATTAAAAACGTTAGAGTGCATTCAGTACTTCAAACTGTTGAATAGTGTACGTCACCTAAATTAGATAAGCTAGTTACTATTTTAGCTGACCTCACATAAATTTGAAACTACGAGTAAACAGCTACTGAGATCAGGGGGAGAAACGATGATACAAATGAATGTCTATTCACTCATTCTCTGGTAAAACAACCCCCCCGGATTAGCATGACCGTTATTTGGCGCGCTTTTACTATTTTAGTTGACGTCAACTAAATAGTTATCTAAGTCAGAACAACACGCCAGGTATTCTCTGTCCTGCATTGCCATTAACTGTAGAGCTAATAAAATAAAGCACTTTACAAGGCTGTGGATCTTCAATAATATAATCTTTCTCGAATATTTTCAGAGAAAAATCAGAACAATATTAGGACTTTATAGGATGACTGCAAGAGAAAATTAACTAAGAGAAGGAATCCCCCCTATACAGCCTTGTAACCATCAAGTGCACAGTTTGGTGCTATTTTTAAACCATTTGTTTTTCTGTACGTGCATTTACTGCGCGCGCTCTACGCTGTTTGCTCACGTTTTTGGGGTTTTTCCGTTATTTCGATTCTGCCCTGGATATGAATGTGCACGTCGAAAGCTTGGCAAATACGACAGGAAATTGAAGTAGCAATTTGTTCAACTTTCTGGAGTATTTTTACATTTATTTTCCAAAGCTTTCGACCTACATCGTCATCTTAAGGGCAGATTTGAACATAAGAAAAGCACAAGAAAACGTTAGCAAACAGCGTAGAGCGTGCGCGTACTATGCGCGTGCAGGAAATCAAACGATGAAATAAATGATATCATTGGATGATATTTTTAGAATATATTCAAAAATAGCATCAAGGTGTGCACATGATGGGGCACGCGGATTCCTTCTCTTAGTCATGTTCTCTTGATGACTGTGTCCTCCCGAATTTAGTCTTTTTTCCACGTGATTTCAAATTTAGGTGACGTCACCTAAAATAGTATATAATTTATCTAATTTAGTTGACGTCACCCATTCAACAGTGAGACTAAATGCACTCCTCGAGTCGGCGTTTACTCGTCGCGTACAAACTTCTCCTAGACTACGTATCAGTCAAATGTTCTTCCTGACCCCCTCTATCCTCGGGGAGTAGGACAAAGAAAGGGCCCCTTTTCTAATTACTGCTAAATATGGTTGGCTGTTTTTCTTATAGGACATACCATGAAACAGGAGAAAGGCCAAAAAGACTGGTATGAAAATATTTCCAATAGACCTAATCCACTGTTTTTCCATTTCAGACCACGTGTCATTCCCTAGAATATAACTTCTTTGTTTAATGGTTGCGCATGAGAAGAAACATGAATACGACTCAAACAAAGAATCTTACATTCTCAAGAGAATGACACTTAGTCTGGCGTGGTCCATTCTATCACAACCCAGGGTATTCACAAGGCCTTGACAAGGCTCAGGCAATCTTTCTAAAGCCGAGCTATTTGTGTTCCTCAGGTGACTGTTGAAAGAGATGTTTTTAAGTCCATCGAAGAAGAAGATTATGAGAAAAGAGAGCTCGAAGAGAGAAATTGCATCGAGGACGATATTGGCGATGGTAGGTTTAATAGGAAGTGATGCATGATTTTCTGACGAAGCCATTATTTGATTTTCTGAAACATACATTTGGCCTATAATGGTGTTGGGCTCACCTCTAGTAAGCGTTTATAAAGTATAAATAACTGCCTACCATTTGAACGCGCGCATTGGAACGCGGGTGGCTGGCTGGCCCAATCAATCAGGATGCTAGCCTGCGTGCAGCCGACCTAACAGAGAAAAGTCTGGCTGCACGCAGGCTATCAGGATGCGTGCGTGATTTATTTTATAAAAGATAAATGTATTTATAATCAAAATATCTAGGCGCATACCATACGGATGGCAAGGAAATCGTGGATAACTTTCAAAGGGGAAAAGGCAATGAAGGTATTAACAATTTATAAAATGCAACATATCAACTAAATGGATTGCAATTGGTTGTCCTTAATTGTCAGTCGCACCTTCAAAAAGAAATCCCTTTTTTTCTTTCAACTAATGATTGTCTCTTTTCAGCGCACAGCGAACGCTTCACTCTGAAGCCGCTAAAGAAGACCCAGATCTACATGTGTTATGGCTGTGGCAGTCCCTTTCGAGAGAAGCCAAAGGGTGGTAGACAAACCGTTCCACCGCCTCCAAGAGACGTTGTTTTGAAACGAAAGCATACACGCGAGTATTACCACCCCTATAATAAAGAATTGACCCCCTCTAAGGCACCCGAGTTTTGTTATTATCACATTTCTTTGGATTGCATACTCAAAAAGAATCCAAAATTTAAAATAGAGGAAGTATGTATCTCTAAGGGCGAATGGTATAAAAAATTATCCTCTTCGCACAAGGATGTTTTAGAAAAAGTATTCGGTATTAGAGACTTCACCTGCAATGAAGACCATTAGAGACAACCTTGCATATACATATTGTATTGGCTTAGATGACCGCATAAAATGGTGGTCCCATCTCATTTAAAGAAGTTGGACATAAAAGGTTTTAAGTTTATCAGAGATCAGTTTCAATTATAATTTCACCCTCTAATAAAAGAGTCGATTATAACTACGAATATTTAGTTTCCACACGTGGCGTTCTCGTGCTCTCGTCTCGGGGTCCAACGAACTATTCCCAAAAACCGCTAAATAATATAAAGCTAAATATGTTCACAAGGATTTTACCTCCTCTTGAACCAATTAAAGTTTTAGACAATTAGAGTTTTAGACGAATGAAAAGTAAAGAAAAATTGTTCTGCCTTTCGTTTCCTCCCTCCTTAAAATTGGAGTTGAGTGTTGTAAATAATGAATGTCGCGAATGTGGAGCATCTCAAGGAAGAGCCCCCTGAAATCCCACAGACTATTAATGGTATCTGTAAATGACTAACATAAACAAGGCTAAGCCTGTGTAAATGAGGGCCCCGTCCATAAATTTGAATCCGCAACTTTCACACCGAAACCGAAAAAATTTTCCGTCCACACAAGAAAACGGATAAAATGTTTCGCGTCCACACTAGTCCGATCAGAGGCGGCAGAAGCGCTTCATTGCACATCTGAGCATGTACATCGAAGCTGAAAATTGAGCCTGCGGTGAGTTTTTAGCCTTCCCGCCATGTTCCCATGACAATCATGACGTCATCGTATTCGAAAAATTTCGGATACGAAATGTTCTCCGTCCACAGTAATACAGCTAGCCGGCGTTATCAAATTGTTCTACTCTGGAGACCGTATTCGAAAAAAATTCGTTTTCGGTGAATTCCAGATTCGTTAGGACGGTAGGCCTAACCGAATTAATAAAAATTCGGATTCAAATTTATCCGGCATAGTGTGGACGGGGCCTGAGTCTGTGGTCTTCAAAAACAGCGGTATGGAGGGAATGCAAAACTGACTTACGTGTTTGGAATATTCTATATACTAGGGTAATACTTGGATTGAATGGATCTAAGTACGACTGTAAAATGTTCTAACCATTGAAACACTGAAACGTTTTATCCAACCACGGTGCTTCAATGTGGAAACCATTTGATTGACATTCGAGCATGAACGCGCTGTAAGAAATTTGTTTTTCTGCGCGCATTTTTTTGAATGTGATAAAAAGAATGCGATTTATTAACAAAATTTCACTTATTTTACATTTTGTGACAGTTGATTTATGACATTATGAGCGCGTGAATTGGATAATCATAGGCAATCGGTATCGTTAGAGTGCATCAAGGTTCATGTGGACTGTGAATAGGTTTATGGGATACTACTCTTATGATTGATTTGATTGACGGAAGTCTTTTGCCTTACTTTCACGTCGCGACTGACTCGCTCAGCACGTAGCAATGAACACAGGAGTGATATAAAACAGTAAAGGAAAAAAACCATACAAAAGATAATGCAAAAAAAAATCAAATATTTCAGTGTGGATGATAGTATTTATATATTTACGTGAAGATTATCCAAAGACCGAGATGAATAGCTTGGCAAGGTTGACTTCGGAGTAGGCGTTAGACTCGACGACTTTCTGAAGGCAGGGGTAGACTTTATCGTACAAAGGTTTGGCTCTTGAAGGCACGTCTAAAAGAAGAAAAGTATGAATTAAGGATTATGTCCGAAGAGAATGGAGTTCAATGAAGAAAGAAAGAAAGAAAAAAAAAAAAGAAAAAGAAAGGAGGATCCTTAAAATATTCGAATTTTTTTCAACTTTTGACTCTTTAAAAGGGGAAAACCTAATTTCTAAACCATGAAAGACTTTTTTCCATGAACGATTTTCAATTTCAATAAGTTTTTGATTGTTTAGACAGTGAGCCTCACCTTTTTTTTTATCTTTGGAAGCATGGTCATAATCAAACAGTCGGCTGTAGTAGAGGATTTGATTGTACAAAGCTGTATCTGTGTACTGGGAAAACGTAAACGAAAGAAATGTGGAAAAGATGGAAGAAAAATAGAAGAGAAAAAAATACGAAAAAGTAGGAAAGGACAGGCACTAAGGAGGGAATGGAGGGAGGAAGGACTAGAGAGAAAGGGATAAAGAAGAGGGAGGTAGGTAAAAAGGAAGGAAGGAAGGAAGGAAAGAAGCAAGCAAGCAAGCAAGCAGGCAAGCAAGCCGCAGGATTTGTTGATTTATGAAATTCTTACCATAGGTACTATGTGTGCCCGGTGACAACGAGGACAAAGGGGTAGTCCCCTGTGGCGTGTAAGTGGTACTTGACGAGTGCGATGGTCACACGATGGATCTTCACACTTCTGCCAGCCCTGACCAACACAAGAAAAATTTGAATTTAACAAAAATTAAGATCTGCTCTTCATTGTAGGCTGATGATGAGATGTATCAAACCGATTGATACCAAGCAATAGAATACTCTCTGGTTAATAGCACATGACGGGCAGTGTTTGCCGTCAATGTAGGCTGGTTGTGAGATTCCTGAGATTCAGCTGATTGATACCAAGCAATAGAATACTCTCTGGTTGATAACACATGACGGGCAGTGTTTGCCTGTCATTATAACCTAGTAACAAGATTCATAAGATTCATTCAGCTGATTGATACCAAGCAATACAATGCTCTCTGGTTGATAGCACATGACGGTCAGGGTTTGCCTGCCAGTGTATCTGGTAATGAGATTCCTGAGATTCAGCTGATTGATACCAAGCAATAAAATATTCTTTGGTAGATAGCACATGACGGGCAGTGCTATAAAACAGTTATAAAGTATTGACAAATTCACTCACATTATAATACTCCTTGATGTGCTTACGAATGACCACAGTCACGTGATTAATCACGGCAGCTGATTGGTAAAGATTGTTGCATTGTGGACAAATAGCACTATATTCATGATTATCCTGAAACGAGACGATACCTAGAATCATTTGATTTTTCGCAGACAAATTAATCACAACAATCTAATAAAACTGTAGCGCTACTTTTTCTACGCTTTTACAAGAAATGGATTTCTTTCACGTTTAATTCATCAATTCTTCGTTTGCACGTTACGTCATCGCGGCCATGTTGGTACCATTTAGCAAAAGATTTCTCATTAGCATCCATTTTTAACGGTACCACAATGGATGCCATGTTTTTGTCTCTTAACTCTCTTGAGAATGCTTGCAACCCATCAATAATGGGAGTTTTTTATATAGCGCATTTCAAATATCTTAATGCGCTTTACATTTATGACCAGTGGAGTACTTTACGGGTTGCATACGAAGGCCCCGTCCACACGTATCCGGAAATTTTTGTATCCGCAATTGTTTTTTGCGGATACGAAAATGTTTGCATCCACACGCAGCGTATTCGAATCGTTTTCGAATCGTTTTCACTGTCCACACGTATCCGGAAATTTCTTGATCCGCCCTGATGCACGCTAGTGCCTAGTCCATTTGACGGATAGTGTTTATTATTGAGCATACGCAATATCGTGTTTAAGTCAGCGTATTCGAAAATTTGCGGATACGAGCGTCCACACGTATCCGTATTCGAAAATGTCCACTCTGGAGACCGTTTTCGAAAATTTCCTGATACGGATACAAAAATTTGCGGACACGTGTTACGCAACCCGTATCCGCAAAAAAAAAAAAAAAAAATCCGGATATAAAAATTTCCGGATACGTGCGGACAGTGAAAACGATTCGAAAACGATTCGAATACGCTGCGTGTGGACGCGAACATTTTCGTATCCGCAAAAAAAAAAAATTTGCGGATACAGAAATTTCCGGATACGCGTGGACGGGGCCTTAGTTGTATATTTGGTACCAGACGAAGCACCCAATCACAGCCAGTTTTATAACAAAACTGAAACTGTGACATCGTACTTACCTTGCTTTTGACAAGGGTTTCAATAGTCGTCTCTGCACCACATTTTGCATTTTTACATTTGAGCACCAGTCGAGCACAGTCCTGTATGAAATAAAGATTCATGAGCTGCCATGAAAATAAGTTCGTATTTCTTAGCATTTTTTCATAGTAACCAATTTTCTTTCTTATTTAAACTTGTATTTCCTCATGAGAACAGTAGACAATGGGCCCGGGGGGGGGGGGGGGGGGGGGGGGGGGGGGGGGGGGGGGGGGGGGGGGGGTAATGATGTTTTGAAAGTTCTCAAACTGGACTCGACTAAATGCTCGTTCAATTTTGAACACTTTCAAAACATTACTCGTACCTATAAATTCCGAATTGTACTCGAGATCGTGCGATTTCCTATACGAATTAAGCGTCATCTTCTAGCAAATTTGATTTTTTTTTAGAAACTCAATTGAAAGATCTTAACCTTGAATCGCTCCTCGTCAGTCATAAGTGCCTGGCCACCAAGCAAGGCATCTGTTTCGTCGTCATGGTGAGTTGACGCGCTACGATATCCCGATGGATCAAGACCTGTATAGAATGTGGGCATCAGTAATGATCTCAGAATATAAATAGCAACTTAAGTATTTATTTTAAAAATCTACACAATCAAAATTTACGCAGAATAATTTTCATTCAGGCCCTTTCTAGATCAAAGATTCATAAGTTGAATTTTCTATGTTAATTTTCCAATTTAAACATAAATCCTGACTGCTATTTTGACATTTTAAAGTTATTTGTTATCGAACTTTTTATTTTGCGTGACCGAATATTGCAAATATGTACATGGTGATTTGAAGAGCATAAATATCGCAGGATATTTGTACTTGCTTCAGGCTTTCTCCTGCTATTTTTTTACTCTACTGAGTATAATTGGATGATAGTGCAGTTTTCGTATGACTGTGAAAAATTCACGGCACGAACACGGTCGTGACACGGCAAGGGATACGCCAGACAAATCACATTGCACGAGAATTTACTCTCCATCCAATCAAATACCCGGAACACGGCATTAACACGGCGAGGACACGGTCACGCCAAAGTCACGGCAATGCCAGACCAATCACATTGCACGAGAATTTACTCTCCATCCAATCAAATACCCGGAACATGGCATAAACACGGCGCGGACACGGTCACGCCAAGGTCACGGCAATGCCAGACCAATCACATTGCGCGTGAAAAAAATCAGCCAATTAAAATTCTAGAAAGCATCACGGTCACGGCATGTCACGCTTACGGCACTGAGCTTTTTACAGTCATACGAAAACTGCTTTAAGGTAAAAGTACACGATTTGTAGTTCTAAGTTTTGTACGAGTTTTGTTTTCTGTACTCACCAAGGCATTGCGCAATCCTAGAAGCATCCGTTCCTTCGATAGGGTCACACAATCGTGACACAACGGGATGCACTTGACTTGCCAAGTAGTACTTGTTGTCTGATGTTAACGTTAAGGGCAAACAGACTTCACTTTGCACATACATATTCATAATTAGTCTAACAACACTGCCTAAGAAATGTGGGTTTTTGGCTTCCGTACCTCAATCAAAAACCACTAACGTTGGAAATGTGATTGACTGAAGCCAATCTCCACCCATTTCAATGTAGTAACATTATAAGCTATATAAGCTACAGCTGTTCGAAATTCGAGAGGTTTGTATGGAAACAACAACGAAAGGACCTACCAGCCTCTCAACCCACCATTAGAAATACAGCTTTGCCTCCTGTGGTTAGATGGCAGAACAATAAAATGGTACAAAACCTCTATTCTGTTGAGTTTGTTAAGGATACCGATTCGCAGAGTGTCTGATTTCTGGAATTCATCAGGGTGATAAGCACGCTGTGAGGCAGGCAAGGTTGAGCCATCCTGGACAGAACACAAGACAATAATGGTGTCATAATGATGGTTAGTCCAACCACCTCGCCGGTAGGACTGGGGATGGTATCACATGGCAGCAATGACTTCATGGAAAACGTAGAAATTCACCATTTTCCATACATTGGTTCACTGGTCAAACACAAAGCACTCAAGCGAGGCGCCAASGTACTTTCAAAGGATTATTCAAATTTGAACCTTACAACCTCGACTGAATGCTTTGTGTTTGACCAGTGAACCGATGTTTGAAAAATGGTGAATAGGATGACGCAGTATTCGAATCACGTGACAAATATTAAATTGGCTATAAAATATGATGTAAAGCTATTACGTGGAGCAATTACGTCATGGATGACGTAGTCATAACATCACGTGACAACATAGTAAAACTTGACTTTAGAAAAATAACGTGACTATTAATGACATCACAGGTAACAGAAAATAAGGTCAAATAGTACGCCATACTTACGTCACAGATGACGTAGGGAATCGTGTCTCCCACGCCTACTTTCCTCGACTTGCTCATCATCCATAGAGCCACGTGGACGTGGGGCAGGGATTTCTTGTCAGGGTAGTCATGGGGAGATTTGGTCAATTGCTATAGAAACGAAAAGAGCATTATTGATAAGCATTGAAGTGACCTTGAAAGCACCTTGAAGTGACGATGGAGAATTAAAGATTCAAATCACGTATCTTTGTCTTCACCAAGCAGCTTTACAATACCTTGTTGATGATAAATTTCTGAACGTCAACCTTACCATCCTTCACGTCCTCGCCAACTGATAAGAAAAAAACAAGATCTTCATCGTCAAAAATAGCTGTTTTTCACAAAATAGTTTTGATGAATTAAATATTAAAACCAATAAAAAGTTTGCTATGGGCATGACCTACCTTTGATCAGAAACTCGTGGATGTTGTCCAGGATGGTCTCTCGTGGTTGGGAGGATAGAATCTGGGCCAGGACGTAGCTAAGAAATAAAAATAAAGGATAAAAAAAATACACAGGAAGAGAGAGAGAGAGAGAGAGAGAGAGAGAGAGAGAGAGAGAGAGAATAAATACGTACTTCCCAGCGTCTTTTGCGAGGTCGGACCAGTCCCTTCTCACTATGTCAAGACCTTTCATTTCTTTTACTTCATTAAGGGTGCCTGGTAAATAAAATACGATGTTTAAATGAAACGGAAAAGGATATAGTTGTATGAAGTAAAATGGATGGATGAATGGTGAGACGAATGGAGCGAGAAAATGAATAGTGGATGGATAGATAGAAAAAAAGAAACTTTTGTTGCATGAAGGAAAAAACTGGATGGATGGATAGATGGATGGATGGAGGGAAGGATGGAGGGAGGGAGGGACGGAGGGA